ACACATACATATACACACCACACACACTCACATACACAAACATATAGCGCATGTAAATATACACTCATGTGAATCCATGCATCCATCCATGCATTTCATTAACTGAAGTAATTTATTTTTTTCAATAAAATATTAATAGAACTGTTTCATTTAACTCATCTGCAGTTTACCCAATGGGTTGATGCAGTTGTCTTTGTATTCAGTTTAGAGAATGAGATCAGCTTCAATGCCATCTACAGTTATTTCGCGAAGATGGCACATCACCACAGCACTGCTGGGGGCCAGCAACTTCATGACATCCCTATCATTTTAGTTGGGACTCAAGATGCGATCAGTGAAAGTAACCCAAGGCTGATCGACGACTCTCGAGCCAGGAAGTTGGCCGCCGACTTGAAGAGATGTACATATTATGAAACTTGTGCCACCTACGGTTTGAATGTGGAAAGGGTTTTTCAGGATGGTTAGTAGGAGCCTAGATATATTTTCCCAACTTATTTTATTTTGTTATGCTTCTATTTTTTCTGTCTTACCTACTATTCTGTTTTCAATTTCAGCCTGTCAGAAAATAATTCAAGCGCGTGTTTCTGCGTCAACAGTTCCAACGAACATGTTTCTACAACAACAACAACAGCAGCAACAACAACAGTATCAGCAACAGCAACAGTATCAACAACAACAACAGTATCAACAACAACCAATACAAGCACAGCAGCAGCAGCAACAATTTCACCCACAACAACAGCAACACATGTTTCTATCTCGTCCTTATTTCTACCAACAACAGCAACAACAAATGCTACCGTACCAGCAGCAGCAACAACAACAACAACAACAACAACATCATCACATACCGTACCAACATCAACTACAGCAGCAGGTTCAGAAGCAGGCATATGACTCCAGTAGCTCGGGCTCTGGCAGTGGTGTCTTGATGTCGTCGGCGCCATTTTCTGTGGTTAGTTTTTTTTTCATCATCATTAATAGAGGTAATAATTACAACAATGATGATGATGCTGATGATGAGGACGACGATGACGATGATGATCTTAGTTGTAGTAATCTTGCGGTTAAATCTATCTCAAATAACGCTGATGCTAAAGACCATATTGATGTTATGGTGATAATTGTGATGATAATGAAGAGGATACTGATGTTAATGATGATAGTTGTGATGATGATGGAGACGATACTGATGTTAATGATGATAGTTGTGATGATGATGGAGACGATACTGATGTTAATGATGATAGTTGTGATGATGATGGAGACGATACTGATGTTAATGATGATAGTTGTGATGATGATGGAGACGATGCTGATGTTAATGATGATAGTTGTGGTGATGATGGAGATGATAATGTTGATGATGATTGTGAGGAAGATGACGGCGATGATGATGAAGATGGGATACGTATAAATAGAGGCCATCATTCCCTAATTCCTAATTAGTACGAAGACTCGAGGAAGGATGTGCATTCTCTGTCTTGCTCAGTCGATTCTACCGGGTCCGACAAAGATGGCTCGACTGTTCAGTTGATTACTACCGATAATAGTGTTTGTTTCCGTTTTGAGATTTTGTTTTCTATGGTTTTTGTTGATTTATTTTTCTATGTTCTTTTATTGTATTTGTTTGTTTTTTTAGGTTTTCAATAGATTTATTTTTCATTGTTTTTTTTTATTCTGTTTTCTATGAATTGATTGGCAAGTTGATTGAATAGTTGGTAGATTGGTTGATTGATTGATTGATTAATTAATTCATTGAATGAATGGATGAATGATTGATTGATTGATTGATTGATTGAATGAATGAATGAATGAATGATTGACTGATTGACTGACTGACTGAACAGAGAGATGAAGAAAGAAATAAATTTAGAATCGGCGAAGTCGGAAGTGGAAGAACTATACCAATCAAACAGGTCTGATGATGATGATGATGATGACAATGGTGGTGGTGATGATGATGATGATGACATATTTTTTATTGATAGTAGTGATTTCTGTGATGATTATGAATGATGATTATGATGAGTATTGCAATGGTGATGATGATGATATTTAAGAAAGGAATGAATGAATGAATGAATGAATGAATGAATGAATGAATGAATGAATGAATGAATGAATGATTGAGTGGTTGAATGAATGAATGAATGCATTAATGAATGAATGAATGATTGAATGAATGAATGAATGAATGAATGAATAAATGAATGAATGATTGAATGAATGGACGAAAGAATAAATAAATTTTAATTAAATTTCAGGGTTTACTGATGAAGAAGAGCAACAAGCCATTGAATAAAGATTGGAAGAAGAAATACGTAACGCTACTTGATAATGGCGTTTTGGCTTACCATCCAAGTTTACATGTAACAATTACGTCATTACGCAATTGATTACTGTTGTCTATTGTGCTGTTGGTTGTTGTGGCGATGATATCATTTTGTCATCCTAGTCGAATGGTGTGAAATTCATTGTAATCTCCAGGATAAACAACAGCATCATCATCATAATCACCACCAACGTCATCATCATCATCATCATAATCACCATCAACATCATCATCATCATTATCATAATCACCATCAACATCATCATCATCATCATCATAATCATCATCATCATCATCATCATAATCATCATCATCATAATCACCATCAACATCGTCATCATCATCATAATCACCAACAACATCATCATCATAATCACCATCATCATCATCATCATCATCATAATCACCATCAACATCATCATCATCATTAACATCATCATCATCACCAGGACTATATGAACAATGCTAAAGGCAAGGAGATAAACTTGCTTAGGACGACGGTCAAGATACCAGGCCAGCGACCCAGGGGTTCAGAGATGCCCAAGTTGGGATACCAACAATTTTCAAGTATGTATGTGTGCGTGTGTGTGCGCGCGCGTGTGTGTGTGGCTGTGAGATGAGAATGATGATGATGATAATAATGATGACAATGCGATGACGATGATGATGACAATACGATGATGATGACAATACGATGATGATGACAATACGACGATGATGATGATGATGACGGTAATGGTATGATTATAAATAAAACCATTTTTAATCTTGCCAGGTATCGACGCTCCGAATGAACTGGCCAGTAACGTTGGTATGTATGTCTTTTTGCCTGTTTTTAAATTTGAATTCAAGGAAACATACATACATACATACATAAATACATACATAGAAACATACATGCATACATACATACATACATACATGCATACATACATACATTAATACATATATACATACATACATACTAACATACATACATACAAACATACATACGAAACGAAATTTTATTTGCTTTTCAAAATACATACATGCATACATACATACAAACATTTGAATACATACATACATACAAACAAACAAACAAACATACAATACATACGTGCAGCATTCGAAGGCGTATTTCCGAAAGTGACGTCATCAACGTCATCATCGTCATCATCATCAACGACCACGTCATCATCATCATCGTCAACAACATCTACTGGAATTCCCGCTCTTAATAATAATAATATAATTAATAATAGTAATAATATAATTAATAATAATAATAATAAGAGCCCTGTTGAACTATTGAATAATAAGAAAAAACAGAAGAAGAAGAGTTCATCCAATCAGGATGGTGGGTTGATTGATTGATAGATTAGTTGGTTAGTTGATTGGTTGGTTGATTGATTGATTGGTTGATTGATTGGTTGAATGGTTGGTTGATTGATTGTTTGGTTGATTATAAAATCAGCATAGTTTGATGAAAGATAGACAGACAGACAGATAGATATATAGATAGATTGATTGATATCAATTTTCTTGATAATTTTGGGATTCTGCTCGCTGCCAGATTCCCTATTTGATGCATTTCTAATTATTATCATCTTCTCATCATCATCATCATCATCATCATCATCATCATCATCGTTATCATCACCATCATCGTTATCATCATCATCATCGTCAGATGTTGATAGCTTAGAGTTCCACCTCGTTTCGTTGGACAATACAGTTTGGCAGTTTCAGGCTCAGTCCCTTGAGGTTCTCGTAACGATGATGATGATGACAACGATGATGATGATGATGTTAATTGCGATTATGGTGAAGAAGGTGCTGACGAGAGTACTTTTATTATGTGGTGTGGCTGAAGTGTCAATTCAATGAAAGAAAGAGCGATGGACAAACGAATGAATGAATGATTGGAATGATTGGAATGAATGAATGAATGAATGAATGAATGAATGAATGAATGAATGAATGAACGAATGAATGAATGAATGAATGAACGAATGAATGAAAATGAATGAATGAATGAATGAATGAATGAATGAACGAATGAATGAATGAATGAATGAATGAATGAATGAATGAATGAATGAATGAATGAATGAATGAATGAATGAATGAATGAACCAACGAACCAACAAGGAACGGGATGAATGGGTTACAGCCATTGAACAACAAATATTGATCTGCCTACAAGCCAATCAGAGTGATAAGTCTAAAGTATGTATATGTGTATGTTTGTATGTTTGTACGTATGTATGTATGTTCATTTGTTTGTTTGCTTGTATGTCTTCATGTTTGTATGTATGTTTGTATTTGTATGCATTTACATCTTTTTGCACGTTTGATGTTTGTTTGTTAGTTAGTTGCTTTATCGATAATGTTTGAATTAGTAAACTGAATGAATGAATAAATGAATGATTGGATGAATGAATGCTTTTTCATTGGTTGATGAGACATTTAAACAGACAAATGAAATTTACCGAAGGGCGGAGTTATGATGATGGCTGGAGGTGACAACAACAGATCATTCATCCAAAGAATCAGAAACGTTAAAGGGAATAATAAATGCGCAGACTGCAACGCTATCAGTATGTGTCAATCATTCATTCATCCACTCATTCATCCACTCATTCATCCACTCATTCATTCATTCATTCATTCATTCATTCATTCATTCATTCATTCATTCATTCATTCATTCATTCATTCATTCATTCATTCATTCATTCATTCATTCGTTCGTTCGTTCGTTCGTTCGTTCGTTTGTTCATTCATTCATTCATTCGTTCATTCATTCATTCATTCAGACCCTGATTGGGCCAGCCTAAATTTAGGCACCTTGATATGCATAGAGTGTTCCGGTATCCATAGAAATCTCGGCAGCCATCTGTCTAAAGTGAAATCTCTAGAACTAGATGAGTGGCCGTAAGTTTGTGCCTGCGTGTGTTTGGCTGTTCGTTCATTCATTCATTCATTCATTCATTCATTCATTCATTCATTCATTCATTCATTCATTCATTCATTCATTCATTCATTCATTCATTCATTCGTTCATTCATTCGTTCGTTCATTCATTCATTCATTCATTCATTCAGTTCATTCATTCAGTCAGTCAGCTATCGTCATCATCATAACCGTCTGAATGTTTTTTTTTCAGGAACAGTTTAGTGCAAGTAATGGTGAGCATTGGCAATAATCTGGCAAATGAAGTCTGGGAAGCCAACATGAGAGGCAGGGTCAAACCAGACCCATATGCTAACAGGTCATAATCATTATCAACATCGTCATCAGCATCATCATCAGCGTCATCAACATCATCATCAGTGTCATGAACATCATCATCATCATTATCATTAATAACAACAACATCATCATTATCATCATCATTATCATCATCATACCAGAGATGACAAGGAAAAGTACATAAGGTGCAAGTAT